GTTTTGTCCAATGTTGTATTACCAGTGCCTCCAAGAGCACCTGGAATATAATAGGTGTTTACTAAGTGATTTTTACATGAATCAGGAAATGAATGAAAGAACTTGTTTTGATCATCTTCCTGGCTCTCCTTTCTGACTTCATTGATTTAAGAGAATAATTTATCATCATGAGATATATTTAAAGTATTCCATAGGGAAAAGAAAAAAAGAATCGGTAGATAGTTTTGAAGAAAGAAAAGAAATTTGCTTATGAATGTCTTTCTGGAATCACTGAGATTGAACTAGAAAGGATGCCAAATCCTCCATTATAAAAAGGAAAAAAGAAAAGTTATGCAGACCAAAGGAAAAGAGAGAACCACCCATAGAAATATATTGACGAACTTAGTGATATATTTTACAGTTAAATGGATACATTGGTTTGATTGATGTCAAAACAGAGAAGTAAAAGAAAATAGCAAAAACTGTTAAATACACTTGAAAATAGTGTGTCAAACATTTATAGTAATTGGGAAATTTGGGTCATGGTATACTTTGTAAATGCTTAAAAGCTGGTGAGTAAAAATGTTTAACAGGAATTAAACTGTGCTATTTTGGATAGTCAAGAGAAACACACACACACACACACACACACACACACACATACAACTTCCCCCCTCCCCCAACAAATGAGTTTTCCAAGAATAGCATATCCTTTACAGAGTTTTCAAATACATGCAGTTTTTATTTAAATATATTTTATTGATTTTTTTTGCAGAGAGGATGGGAAAAAGGATAGAGAGTTAGAAACATTGATGAGAGAGAAATATTGATCAGCCGCCTCCTGCACACCTCCTACTGGAGATATGCCCGCAACCAAGGTGCATGCCCTTGACCAGAATCGAACCTGGGACCTTTCAGCCCGCAGGCCGACGCTCTATCCACTGAGCCAAACCGGTCAGGGCAAATACATGCAGTTTTAATATTTTGTGTCCATTGACAGTTTTGTAAATTAATCTTTAGCCCACTTTTCTCATTTACCTGAAGATTTTTTTTCTTGCATTCCTAAATCTACTTCTATAGCTTGACTATTTGACTATTGCTTGAGTCATTACATTTGGTTACTGCTCTCTTTTGAGCTCGCCATTTCCTTTATTGATTTCCTGTAACTTCCTCATACAGATCTTGTAGTAGAGTACCATTGAGAAATATTTTACAAATGTTTTATAAATGGTTTCTCAGCCAGAGCCATTTAGCTAGATTTTTTTTATGTTTAGAATTAATTCATCTTTTTTAATGTCCCATTTCACATTCTTGTATTCCTTAAGTGAGTGCTCTATCTACATACTAAGATTTCTCTACTTATTTTTCTAAACTGGAATGTTTAAATAATTGACTTAGCTCACAGGCCTACATATTAGTGACTGTACTAGGATGAATATTCACAAAGCACAAGGAGGTGTCTGCCCGTTGTGTAGGTCCCAGATGTATAGAGAAACACAAGATTGAGTGGTGCATCGTGGAGCCTATAATTTTCTCACGTGGATGTTTTTCGAATTTTCACAGACAGAAAGAGAGAGGAAATGAGGAAGGGACAGGATAAAGCTAAGGTGTGAAAAAGGCATGGGATAAGAGTAAAAGTATTTTCCATCTTTATACTTTCATCTGAAAGTGGAAATCAGTTTCCTTAGAGGAGTAAAAAGAAAAGGGATATCCAAATATTTAAGTTCATGTAATTTTTTTTTCTAAATTAGTTTCTTTTGTTGTGTCGTGTTATGAACTCTAGTTTTGAAATGTTAACCCTATAATCAGAATCTGGTACAGTGGGGCCTTGAATTACGAGTTTAATTTGTTTCGTGATGGAGCTCGTAACTCAAATTACTCATATGTCAAATCAATTTTCACCATTACAATGAATTGAATGCTGGGCTGATGTTGTGGCATTCACTGTGACATTTGCTTTGCCAACTAGCGGTGGGTATCTGAAGCTGGCTTGTAACCCGAATTTTAGCTCACAACTCAAAGCAAAAAATCAGCCGAGAGACGGCTAGTATCTCGAAAAACTCGTTAGTCGGGACACTCGTAAGTCAAGGGCCCACTGTATTGATTTATGTAGAGACTTAAGTTACTCTAACTCAGGCATTGCTAAAAGAAGTGAACTAGATGTAGAGGACCTGTTATCTCAGGTTCTTCACCTACACTTAGTTTCTACATCCATGATACGTATTCTCCCATCTCCTTCATTGTGATACCCCAAGTTTAACTTATTTTCCATACTGTGCTCTGAGCTCTTTTGAACAAATCTCTAGATAAATATAGCATAACTTTGAGACAATATTGTAGCTATGCTTAGGATTTCTTAGGAAGCCACAAGCTATATAATTTCAGGTAAAACTAGATAGAGTCTCATAGAGCCAAGGAAGAAACCAATGTGAAATACCATTCCTCTCCCCTTCCCTAGAACATTTTTATCTGTGCCTCCTGTAAGATCCACATAGGCACTCATATCTTCCATGAAACTCCTTCTGGCTAATACAGTCCATGATGCTCTGTCCCTTACACAATAAATTATGACTAGTGACATTTATATGAGCATATTTCTTTGTATTGTGATATCAACATTCCATAGGCATGTTCCTTATCAACATCTATAAGACTATAACCTTTTTCAGGGCATAATGTTTTTATGCTCTAAGAGTATAGTTAAGAGGTATGGGCATTTGGTAAAAAGTAGAATATCTACTTTTTTGAAGGATTTTGGAAAATGGTAATGGTGCTAAAACATTGGAATTAGTCAAATGCCCCAATTCCAATGAATAATAAATAAAATGGGGGTAGATTTAACAAATTTTAAAATAGTGAGCTTAATTTTTATTTCCAGTGGAATCCTAGAATGAACCCAGAAAGCAGCCCTTACAAAGTGCAATATTTCACAAAAAGCCTGCCTAGACTTTTAAAGATGTTGCTTTGCCACATATACCCCAGTGACCATCTACATGTGGACAAGATGGAGGAATGAGGGCAGGCTCACAGCTGGCTAACACTGAGGGGCATATCCACCTGTGGGAAGGACCCAGCAGCCTGTTTCAGGACTGTGACTTTTGCTTGCCTTGGCTTATTCATCATTTTATCCATGACTTGGTTGGCTGAGGACATATATATCATGTTTATTTCTTAATCCTGTAATGAAACAAAGTTTGGAAGCGATAGTGAATGTGTGGGATGCCCAAATCAGGATTCAAAAAGCTCCTGAGAGCTTTTAAATATGGGTGATATCTGTCAAATTCAGGAAGAGGCTACCAAAATATCTGACACTGTCTTATTTTGCATTATTCAGAACATGGCACCTAAATTGGAGAGGCAATAGTCCTGCTTTGTTCTGTACAAATAGGACACAGTGGATGGTTCCTCTAAATACGTTTATAGTGTGTGCTCCAGGCAGTGAGTGAAGTGAACTTGAAACCAACAGAATATGTTTAATAGAGAAGAGAGGACTCTTCAGGGCTATGATTGGATCTGCTTATATCTAAAGATATCACATAGAGGAAGAATTATTAAGCTCAAAGGGCAATATGAGACCCAATGAATGTGGACCAGCAGATAGGAAATAATACTTTCCAAGAATTAGTTCTTTTCAAAACAAAGCACCGCCTGGCCAGTATGGCTTAGTTGGTTGGCCATCATCCAGTGCACCAGAAAGTTCCTGGTTCTATTCCCTATTAGGGCACATGCCCAGGATGCAGGCTTAGTCCCGAGTAAGGTTTGTGCAGGAGGCAGCCAGCAATTGATGTTTTTCTTTCACATTGATGTTTCTCTTTCTCTCTCCCTCTCTCTTCCATTCTCTCTAAAAATCAGTAAAAATAAAATGGAAGATGTGGGGGAGGAGGGAGGCCCATGGGGGGAAACAGGGGGGAAGATCAACCAAAGAACTTGTATGCATATAGCATAAACCATGGACACAGACAATAGAGTGGTGAAGGTCTCTGAGGCCTGTGGTGGGGGTGGTATAGAAGGGATCAATAGCGGATAAAGGGGACATATGTAATACTTTCAACAATTAAGTTTTTTTAAAATATATTTTTATTGATTTCAGAGAGGAAAGGAAAGGGAGAGAGAGGGATAGAAACATCAATGATGAGAGAGTATCATTGATGGGCTGCCCCCTGCATGTCCCCCACTGGGGACTGAGCCCACAACCCAGGCATGTGCCCTGACCAGGAATGAACTGTGACCTCCTGATTCATAGGTGGACGCTCAACCACTGAGCCACCGTTGCCAGGCAACAATGAAGATTTTCGTTAAAAGAGAGAGAGAGGAAAAAAAAAAAAACAGCAACAACAACAAAAACTAAAGTACGTCTCTGGAATTCAGTGTGGAAAACTCATTTTGTCATCCCCAAAATCATGGTAGCTATTAAATACATAATTATTCAACCGAATAAAAGTTTAGCACTTTTTCTCAGAGTTTCATTAGATGTGATCCCATACAATTATGATCTGTTGATTAAGAAGGTGTTGCAAGTTAACAAACTCCCTGGGCATAGACAACAAAAGCAACCATCTCTTGCCTCTAGAAAGCTGACCAACTAGAGGCTGCAGAGGAAGTGGCGGTGGTGGTGATTGTATAATATTGAATGTTTCACTGTGATTGACACATTGTAAATACTTTGGTGTGCTTAAAGGAAACAATTCAGCAATTAATATTTTAGTGAAAAAATGAAGTAGAAATCATCAAAATATGAACCTTGTGGTAGGTGAGAATATCATGTTCAAATTTCAAAACAACTAAATATAAGTCATGATATTTGGAATAAATGAATTATTTTCATGAAAAGAATTTCACAAACTGGGTCACCGAATCTATAAGAAAGGACATGCAGATTTTAATACAAAAAAAATAGAGGTGGAATTTTTGAAATATCTTACTGTAAGATAAGAAATCTGCCATTCTGTTTGCATTGCACACAATCCTATAATATTTTATGTATGTACTGAAGATACATTTATTCCTCTGTTTGCTTTTAGGGCACTTTGAATCCCTATTGTGTCTTATGGGATGACTCAAAAACGTAAGTGACAGCTGTTTTCTTACATTTCTTTGGTCTAAATAGTCAAAGCACTCTGAGCTCTTTTGGCTGCCTGCTAGCCAACAGGAATATGATAATGTGGTGGGATATGTGTTAACTCAGAGGGGAAACATTCTCCTTTTTGAATCTGTAGGACAGCATGATGAATGTGTTTGTGTGTGACGATGCCATCGGGTTATGTCCCAAGATAGAATTACATTACCTAATGTGTAAGGCATGTTGTGATGCAAATTCCATGAGGATCTTTTAAAAGCTCTAATATTTTAAAATTATAGAAGCTCAAATGCTACTTCAACATTTTGCCTAGTAATTCAGTTTAGCACTGTAGAATAAAAGAGCAATCACTGTGGTCATTTAGGCAATACATTGCTTGCATGACCTTGAATCTATTATCACAGTAATGCAATATTTAGACACCCCTTCCAAATTGTTTTGTTGTAAAAACTTTGAGTGACATTTTAATTTTCTTATTCATATATTTTACGAACTCATGAAGACAAAAGAAAATAATTACAATAAATAAGGATGAGTAATTCTTCCATGTATTTCTTCATTTGTACAAGTAATTGCAATGTATCTGGACAAAATAATTTAATCTCATTGGCAACTCTATACATTTTAATGTCTCAAAGAAAAGAAAAATTCATAATTAAGTCTTCATTAGACTCCTATACTTTGATTACTCGTGTAACTTTATCGCAGTGTAGTAGCCAGGTTTTATTTTGTTTTGTATGGAGGGGAGATAAATATCAATAAATCCCAAAAGTGAATACTACCATGCCGTATGCTGTCAGATAGGGTACCATATTGTTGGCTTCTATGCATTCTAAATTTTTTCCAGGGTTCTTTACCCTAAATCTGATCCAAATCTGAAGTTTTATGATATTACTTGCCTCTCACCATTAATTATTAGAGAGTCTAGAAGAGGAGCATTCTTAGAATTTCTAGGTGAAAAGCAAACCTACTGGCCATGTGCTCATTCCTTGGATACTGATATAATTTAAACTACACTATTTCTGTGTCTGAAAAAGCGATGATATTAAGTGTATTTTTTGCTATAGATTCTGATATTCTAGGGATGCTCTTCTATGAACCTTAGTGCCATAAGGGGAAGTCCAGTTGCCCTGTGATAATACGAACTGGATGTCTTCATTGATGTCAGTAATTGTTCTTTTTGAAATCCCATAGAGAAACTCATGGTAGTAAACTTTTTGCAAGCTTTCTTCTTCACCAGTAGCCAGGGAAGACTTGGCAGTATATAAGGCACTGCTTAGTAGGCTGTTTAGTCCAAGAAGAATAAAGTGCTACACAAATCTAATTTAATGTTTTTTGCTAAAGAAAAATATGCCATCTTAAGTTCCTGATTATAGCTACTTGCACATCTCCACGGATAACAACCAACTTTGATTTAGTTTTAAAAAGTACGTAGAGTGTGCTTCCTAAACAGGAGAAAGCGTTAGTCATTCCAAAAGACCTTTAGGGATGTTAAAGAGATGCTTTGAGAAGAAACAGCATTCCCCTGTTTGGGACCTCTCTTGGTTCCTTTCACGGAT